GTAGAGTAGAGTAGACTGTGGGTGGGTGGGTGGGTGGGTGGGGTGTAGAGTAGAGTAGATTGTCGTAGAGTAGAGTGTCATAGAGAAAAGTAGAGTAGAGTAGAGTGTCGTAGAGTATGGTAGAGTACGTATAGTAGAGTGTCATATAGTAGAGTGTCGTATAGTAAAGTGTCATATAGTAGAGTGTCGTGAAGTAGATAGAGTACAATGTCGTAGAGTAGAGTACCGTAAAGTAGAGTAGAGTACAGTACAATACAGTAGAGTAGAGTAGAGTAGAGTAGAATAAAATAGAGTAGAATAGAGTGTCGCAGAGTGTCGTAGAGTGTAGTAAAGTGTCGTAGAGTGTCGTAGAGTGTCGTAGAGTAGGGCAGACTAAAATAGAGTAGAGTGTTGTAGAGTGTCGTAGAGTAGAGTGCATGTGTATGCGTGTGCGTGTGCGTATCACATGCGTGTGTGCCCCCGTGTGTGTGTTTGTGTGTGCGTATGTGTATGTCTGTGTGTCTGTCTGTCTCTGTATTTGTGAGTGTGCCTCCTGAGTGTGTGTGTGTGTGTGTGTGTGTGTGTGTGTGTGCGTGTCATGTGTGTGTGTGTGTGTGTGTGTGTCAAGTATTCGTCTGTGAGTATTTGTGTGTGTGTGTGTGTGTGTGTGTGTGTCGTAGAGTAGTAATTTTTCAAAGTTGTGGGTCAACCCCCTACCCCCCACAGTTCGGACTTGGATACATATCATGCGTTGCCACACACAAAACCTGCACCCTTTAAGAAGTGCTCATGATTTTTTTTCCCCTAATAAATAGTTAAACCACCACTGGCCCTGCCGTTCGAAATTCGGGGGGACCGGTAGCACAAGTTCATGAGGGCTACCGGTAGCACAGTGGGGAGAGTTGGCAAGCGATAAAACGTTACATGCATCGAATTGCCGCCGTGATTTTGTTTTGAAGTTGAAATGAATTTTTCTAATTTTTTAAATATTTTTCCTGGAAAGATCACTAAAAAAATCTAAACACCTTCCCATTTTCAGATTTCTTGACGTTTTCCTTTCAGCGTGAAAAATCGCTGAAGTTTGAGTAGTTTTCCTGTTGGCCCGCATATCGTAAAGTGGCAAAAATGAGAAATGAGACAATTTGGCGTGACACTTATTTCACGATCTAAATTTTTTTTTTTTATAAATATTTTTCTTGGAAAAATCACGACCAAATCTATAGGCCGTTCAATTAACAGTGTTGCAGAATCACCCTTCCGACCGTAAAAACTTGCAGAAGTTGGGGTATTTTCCCGTTGACCAAGTCGTGCCACAATAATAAAAATGAAAATTGCAACGAAACGACGCAACATTTATGTCACGATTATTTTTTTTTTTTTTTTTTTTCTGGAAAGATCACAACCTAATCTACACGATCTCAATTTTTCATATTTGTTCTTCAATTCTTATGAGCACAAAAATCGCCAAAATTGGCACATGAAAATTGCGAAACTGGACCCGCCTGCCTCACTGTGCAACGTTAGGGTTTGGGCACACAGGCACATCCTGACTTGCCAGCTGCCCGGCGTCGGATACACTTCATAAAAATACAGTCCCCAAAACCACACAGGGACCTAACTCACCTGAGTGGTATTAGAGTAGGCCGTTGCATATCACAAATTTGTGCGTGGGTTCAAACCCCAACGACAACCGTTAGCAGCGAACTTCATATAATATTAATATTTGGGTGGGTGGGTGGGTGGGTGAGTGGGTGGCAGGCAGGCGGGCAGGAAGGTGGGTGGGTGGGTGTGGGCGGGCGGGCAGGCTGGGTGGGTGGCTGGCAGGCTGCCACGAAGGCAGGTGCGTGCACCCGGCCCCATGCCTTTTGCGGAAAGTGACGAAACTGAGAGGAAAATGAACGACAAACGTCTGAAAAAAACAACAGGGGAATGACGAACGACGAACGTTTGATTTCCCAAAAAAAAAAAAAAA